TCAAAATTTCCATTCTGGAAAGCATGGGAATAATGAAAAATTTTAAGTATAGATACCAATTTCTCTTCACAACCAGAGAAAAATGTCCAGTAGTACATGGTAAGATGTTGAATTTTAAGCTAATGTAGTCTAAGAAAAATTAGTTGCAAACTGTGCCCCTAAGTAACTAAATGGATTGGCCTGCAGTGTAGTTGAATTTGATTAATTACATTTTGTGTTAAAAATGATGATACGGGCTTTATAGTAGTTGATCTTGACCATTTTTCCTGATGAAGGATGGTAGGACCTCAACCAAGTGGTTGAGGCCATTCCTAGAGTCCTGACGTGGAAGAACATACTTATGTTTCTGTTCTCTTTAGCAGCAAGCAAGTATATAGATTTTCCAAAAGTGGTTTTCAAATTATCAAGAGGCAGGTTAAAAGAGAGAACCAAAATATATTCCTTCATTTTCTCATCTGCATAATGGGGATGTTAATAGTATCTACTTCATAGAGTTATTATGACAATGAGGTACGCAAAAGCAGTTAGAAAAGCGGCTAGCACATAATAAGCATTCAATATATCTTAGTTATTATTATGGCTATTAGAATTTCTCAGAACTTTTGTCTGATTTGACATAAGTCCTGCTGAGCCTCACTCCGTAAGATAACAAAGGGCTGGTTTTCTTTCTTTGTTTTCTTTAAAAGGCAGGTTTTCTAAAAGAATCAGTCACTCGAGGGTCTCCTGAATGGATAGCACAGTTCACAGACTGGGACTTGTACGGAGTTAGAGGCCAAGGAAAATCAGTAATTAAAGTTTGCGAACTGCGTTAATAGTTGTTTTTCATAGACCTCTACGGAGGCTGAGATCATCAATTGTAGAATTACTGTTTCTGAGGCCTACTAGCTTCTCAGTGGGAAAATGGCTTGAGAAATCCAGATTTAAATTTGTTAAGGTAGAAATGGAAACTGTCCTTTAAAACATGTCACAGAGTTTACTGAGTTCATGTAGTTTAGATCATACCAGTGTTCTTATTGGAGGAAGCAGACTGGTGGACAGTTATAGGGCCAGGAAGGTTACCCTGGGGGACTTGCTGTAATTTGGGGTATCATGGTATTGAGGTTAGGAGCACGGACTCTGCAGTTGGAGAAGCCTGGATGGGAGCCACAGCTCTTGGCCCTGAGCCAGCTGTGAGCACTCAGCAAGTTGCCTCATCTTCTAAGCATTAGGCTCCTTTCTGTAAATCAAGGTAAGAGCACCCACTAATTGAGTTGTTGGAAGGAGATTTAAATAAGAGAATGCAATTAAAATAATTAGCACTGTGTCCAACACATTGTTGGTAGCTCTCATTAGTGTCCTTGAAAACCAATTCTATGTGTATCGATAGATCCTTTTCCAGAATGTGATCAGAGCAGGGCCTAGGGAGGTTGAAAAACCTAGTCACAGTTTATTAAAATGGAGAAAATTAGCCTCTTTGAGGTCTGGAGTTAGGGTCTAGAGTTCCTAAATCTGGTCTCCTTACTGTCTTTATAGTCAAGGAGGCAAAAGCATTTTTAAAAAGGTCTTAATTTTAAATAAATAACATCCAAGTCACCCTTTTGTATTCATTTTCATGTACACATAATTAACCTGTCCAAGATTTTCTTTGCTATCTTAAGCCAAGAACTGGAAGGCCAGGCCCTAAGTTTGCCAAACATAGGCCTAATGGATAAAGCCAGTGAAAAAAAAATCTCTTTAACGATCTTAAAACACATAAAAATTAATTCAAAATATAAAAATTTAAGAGGAATAAAAAGCACAAAAGATACATGAAAAATTGGGAAATAATAAAAATAAAGTATGATTTTTTTAACTTCACTTTTTTTTTTTTTTAATTTTAATTCCAGTGTGGTCAACTACCATGTTGTATTAGTTTCAGGTAGACACTGTAGTGATTCAGCAATCCCATACATCAGCTGGTGCTCATCACAGGTGCACGCCTTAATCTCCATCATCTATTTCCCTCATCCCCCACCCCCACCTCTGCTTTGGTAACCATTAGTTTGTTCTTTGTAGTTAAGAGTCTGTTTCTAGGTTTGTCTCTCTCTTTTTTCCCCCTTTGTTTGCTTTGTTTCTTAAATTCCACATGTGAGTGAAATCATATGGTATTTGTCTCTCTGACTGACTTATCTCCCTTAGCATTATACTCTCTAGCTCCATCCTTGTTGTTGCAAATGACAAGATTTCATTCTTTTTGATGGCTGAATAATATTCCATTGTGTATATATACACACCACCTCTTCTTTATCTAGTCATCTATCGATGGGCACTTAGGCAGCTTCCATAATTTAGCTATTGTAAATAATGCTGCTATAAACATTGGGGTGCATGTGTCTCTTTGAATTAGTGTTTTTGTATTTTTTGGGTAAATACCCAGTAGTGTGATGGCTGGATCATAGAGTAATTCTATTTTTAACTTTTTGAGGCACCTCCATACTGTTTTCCAGAGTGGCTGCACCAGTTTGCATTCCCAACAACAGTGCACGAGGTTTCCTTTTTCTCCACATTCTCGCCAACACCTGTTGTTTCTTGTCTTCTTGAGTTTAGCCATTCTGACAGGTGTGAGGTGGTATCTCATTGTAGTTTTGATTTGCATTTCCCTGATGATGAATGATGTCGAGTGTCTTTCATGTGTCTGTTGGCCATCTGTAGGTCTTCCTTAGAGAAATGTCTGTTCATGTCTTCTTCCCATTTTTAATTGGATTGTTTAATTGTTAAAGTATGGTTTATTATTTATTTATTTTTATAAAGTATAATTTTAAAAGGAAAAAAACAGTTTGAGTTGCACTTTTTTTTTTTTTTAAGATTTTATTTATTCATTTGAGACAGAGAGAATGAGAGAGACAGAGAGCACATGAGAGGGGGGAGGGTCAGAGGGAGAAGCAGACTCCCCGCCGAGCAGGGAGCCCGATGCGGGACTCGATCCAGGGACTCCAGGATCATGACCTGAGCTGAAGGCAGTCGCCCAACCAACTGAGCCACCCAGGCGCCCTGAGTTGCACTTTTAATGAAAGATAAATTAAGAGTAGAAAACGGTTACAAAGGCAGGAAAATAGAATGCAAGAACTCCAAAAGAAATAAAACAGCGCAAGTTAGAACAAAATACTAAAATAGGGCAGAGCTACAAAGTTATAAGAGTTTTAAAAACAAGGTAAAAATATATGCTCCAAAAAGATAAAGAATAGATCCATCTGGAAGTAGGCGAGCGGCATCATCTTAAGTGGGTCCTCCAAACTGGAGCAATTTCCCTGCTCAGGGTCCTCTGTCAAGGCTGCTGAGGGCGGGCTACATGTTAAAACTGACCATCTTTCATGTAGAGCTCCCGAACCACTCATCTAGGTCCTTTACCTATGTCTGTCATTCCTCCCAGGTGCTCTGGGTCGTAGGTATTGTTATCCCCATACAGAGGAGCAAACTAAGGTTTGCCTCTGCTCGGTTTCACCTATGCTCGGTCTTTTTCTGTCTTTCAGGAAATATTGCCATCATCATCAACAACAGAGACCATAACAAAATCCCATACCCTTTAATCCTTCCTGCTCATTGGGTCAAGATTAGCCACCGAATTAGGAGAGACAGCCATTCTTAGCGAATAGCCTAGTGATCGTAAATGTACCTTAATAACCCTCTGGAGTATTAGGGGTTTTTAAATATCTTTTTCCCCTCCCCTTTTTTGTTTTGTTTTGTTTTGTTCCAAAGTTGATCCTGGTTATTCAAATATTTACCTTGGTTCAGTCTCCTAAATATTTCCTTACTGTGGACACTCTCCATTTTCATTGCCACTACCAAGTTCAGGCTGCAGTCTTGCCATTCCTTGTATTAGCTTCCCATGGCCCCTGGTACCAAATAACCACACGTCAGGTGGCTTAAAGCAGCAGAAACTTATTCTCTTCAGTTGTGGAGACCAGAAGTCCGAAATCGTGTTATTGTGCCCAAATCAAGGTGTGGGAGCAGGGCTGCAGTGCACTCCGAAGGCTCTGGGGGAGAATCCAAGTCCTTGGCTCCTGCAGCTTCTGGCGGCTGCTAACATTTCTTGGCTTGCGGCCGCATCACTGCAGTCCCTGGCTCTGTGGTCACGTCACCTCCCCCTCTGCGTGTGTCAAATCTCTTACAAATACATGTGTTTGCATGTAGGGCCTACCCAGATAACCCAGGGCAAACTCCCCACCTCAAGTTCTGCACTTAATCACAATTGCAAAGACCCCTTTTTGCCATGTCGGGTGACATTCACAGGTCCTGGGGATTAGAGTGTGACTGTCTTGCGGGGGCCCATTTTTCAGTCTGCCACACCCCAGACTTTCCCAACCGTCTCTGCCTTCTGTCCTCTACTGGGAGCCCAAGTTCCTTTAAACATGCAGATCAAATCATGTCACTGCCTTGAAACTCTTCAACGGCTCCTTGGCTCTTGGCACTGTCCTGACTCTGATATGGCCTGATGACCTCCCAGCGTTTCTCTCCCCAGCTTCTCCCTTCACGGTCCGCTACTCAGCCCCACCCCCATCCCCACCCCCGTTCCCGGAGGAGCGGGTTCACTCTCACCTGGACTGCAGCACCCTCTGCTCCTCTGGTTTGGCTCACTCCAGTTTGTCATTCCGTTCTCATTTAGCCTCTGGACTTCGCTTCCTCTGCCCACGTGGGATAGGTGCGCCTTTTTGCGTATCCCACGAGAGCTCTTACCTCGATAGGGACAGTCTCCCTATCACATATCCACCCTGGGCACGGGATGCGTTTCCTGCATCTGGTGCGGTGCCTGACACGCAGTAGGTGCTTAATAAATATGTGTTGAGCCCCTACGTCCACCTTGCCAAGTATAATACTACAACAGAGAGCGCTAATCCATGCAGAAGAATTTTTGCTGGAGAGGCTTGTAAATGTGGGTGCCAAAAGTTCCCACGGATCGTTATTTTTAAGCAGAAATCAAGTATTATGTAATTATGGGATCAAAGAAAACATTTTCATGCTTATTACATTCTGTTTTCTTTCAGGCCATTCCTGTGTTTCTCACTTTGCATAATGTAGCTGAAGTTATCCTCTGTGGGCACCAGAAGTGTTTTCGGAAAGAGGTAAATGGTAATGCAAAATGCTAGTTTCGCTTCCCTTGCTTTAAATTTCAAAGATGCACCTTTTCTTATGGCCCAAATTAGTGTCTACCTTGTCTTGCCATCTGTTTCCTGACAGTGGTCACGACTGCCTGGCAGTCGTCCCTCATTTCAAGGATCATGTTTTCGACCTCCCTTCGGTTCATCAGACGTATGTGGGAATGCTCGTGGATCTGAACGGCGCTCAGCTGCAGCTCAGGGCAGAGCGAGCACCTTGGGATACAAGGAGGAGTTTACTGTGGGCCGAGGAGGGGTGGTGGGGGGCAGCCTTCCCGCCTGCAGCTCATCCCAGGGCCGCTGGGAAACCTATGGCAGAGCCTCGCATAGGGTGCTGGGAGCATCAGCCCACCCTGGGCGAGTCCCCCCTGCTTCCCAAGCCCAGCTCCGCGTCACACCAGTTGGAGCAAGTGTCTTCACCTTCTGTGCCTCCCCGTGGAAGAGGGGGATAGTGATGACACCCAGCTCCTACGGTTGTTGGGAGGACAGAGCGAGGCACCCATGTGAAGTGCGTCCAGCGGTTTCTGGCGCAGAGTAGGTGCTCTGTACATGTTTGCTGTATTTATTAACGCTATTAGTGGTGGTTTTAATTTGGTTCCCCTCTTGGGAGTTCTTCCTTTCTAACGAAATCTGCCCTTTCGAAATGGTTTCGAAATCTGGAACTTTTCAACTAGAGAGGCTAGTTGGTCATTCAGGCAGCTCACTCCTTACAGGCATGCAGGAGAGAGAGGTGTCCTTCCCATGGCCGAGGCCCCTCCGCACACCCATGCACCTTGTCATCCCATGGACCGACTGCCTCTTCTGTCCCGGAGAGCTAACCTCTCTCCCTCTCTGCTGCCTTTCTTCCCTCAGCCCACAGACACTCTCCATGTTCTCAGGCCCCCAAGGATGGAGCAGGCCCTGGGAGACCCGCTCACCCTACCCCAGCTCTGGAAAGCTGTTTCTGAAACCATGCCAGCAGGCTCCCTCGCCTGTGCACCCCTCCACCCCCGCCCCACCGCATCCTTGCCCTCCCCCAGCACAGCACCTGAGGAAGGGTTGGCTTCAGAGCTGTTCTCGGTCTTGTGGCCCTCTCGCCTGCAGCCTGCTCCTGCCCCCACTGTTACCCTGAACTTGCCCTGGCTGAAGCCACTGGGGCCTGCATTGATGCGACTCTGTTGGCCTTTTACACCATTCATCACCAGGTTCGCCGCCGCCTTCCCTTGAGTCTCTCGGCTCCCGTGACCTGCTGATTCTCTTCCCCAGTCTCTGGCTCCTCCTCCTTCCTCCATCTGCCCTACAGGGTCTCCCAGGGCTCTGTGTCAGGTGCCCTTTGTTCCCACGCACACACTTTCTGGACAGTCTCATCCATGCCCATGGCAGCATCCTCCTCAGTGCCCCGGGAACTCCTGGGCCCCATGTCCAGCCCAGACCTCTCCCTTGAGCTCAGACCCCTGTGGTTGCTGCCTCTGGCTCTCCCCAAAGCTGTCTCCTGGGCATATGAAATGCAAAGGGATCAAACTGGGACTGCTCTGTTTTCACAACCTGCTTCTTACATGGTGATCCTGATCCTGGTCATCACCACCCAAGTCAGAAACATAGGGGTCCCCTTAGAGTCCTGCTCTGGTCTTCCTTCCCCCCTACACCCTATTTCTGAATCTGTCCCCTCCTCTCTGTTCTCACTCTGTGGCCACCTTGGTTCAGGTCCTCATTCTTTTTTCAGGGCTACCTGGTTAGGGGCCAAATGAGATCTTACTCCCCTGAACCCTTGGGCAGCCAAGTAGGGCCTGGGGTGAGCAGTCCTGGCTTAGATGGTTATCGTGTTCTGTGCGCGCCATCACCTGCCTTCGCCTGCCCGATGTGCCGTGTGCCTGGCTGGTTTCCCTGCCTCTCCCGACACTCCCCTTCCTCCACACTGCACCCAAGTGACCTTCTGAAACAGATCTGATCATGTCCGCCCACGGACATGGGGGCTGCCCATGACCTGCATGGAGGCATGCAAAGGTGCCATACCCCTCTCGGGTTTTAGAAAATCCAGCCACAACCAAACTTCTCTTTTTTCCTAGACCATGTCGTGATGTGTTCTTTTCTCTGATCTGTCAGAGAACCTCTTCAAGCATCCACTCATTCATTCTGAATACTTTTACGTACATGTGTACCCGCCCACCATGCCAGGCTCTGGGTCTACAGTAGGGAGGAAGGGGCATGGTCCCGCTGCTCTGGGCTACTCCTACAGAGCATCAGCTGAGCAAATCATGACACCCACCTGCTGGACTGTACGGACAGAGAAGCCACTATGGGGAGGTGACATTTAACCACAGACAAAGGCTGAGCAGGAGTTCACCAGGTGGGGCCAGGAAGGGGAAGCAGCAGATGCAAAGAACCAGATGTAGAAGGGGACTTGGCAGGAGTCACTTTGGGCCAGTGTGGCTGGGTGCTTGATAAGAAAGAGAGGATGGCTTAGGATGAGGCTGGAGACTTAGGACGAGCCTTTGAGGCTGACCTGGGCGTTTGGCGTGTATGCTGAGTGCAGTGGGAGGCCAGGGTTGGGTGTGAAAGCCCAGACGGACTGATCAGATTTACAGTGTTGACAGTTCATGCAGCTGTCTGTGGAGGAGACAGGACTGCAGGAGGTGAGAGAGGGCATGGTGGCGACTCTCGAGGTCTCACGAGGGAGGCCCTTGGTATTTTAGGCTGGTCTGCGTGCAGTTGGAACCTGACACCTCTGACACCACAAGGAGCATGAGACCGCTCCCTGACATCACTTAGCACACCACCTTGCGATTTCCGTATTTCATCAATTCTAACACGTGCTGCTTTTTCTCACGTTAAAAAAAAATATTCACTGTCTGCAGTCAGGATGCTTCTATAATCAATGGTGTGCCCTGGTCAAACACTTCCTTTCTTAGGAATATATAAAGAATGGGGGATTTTATACTCGGTGGCATCAGAAGTTCAATGAAATGCGGTAGGAGTTTCCCTGGGTCTCTGTCTGCTTCCTCTGAGCCCCCTCTTGGCAGGGACCACGTGGTTGTCTTCGTAGCCCCAAAATCCAGTCCCAGAACCACTGCCAAGGTGAATATTCACTAACTAGTCACTGAAGTTCAGCCACTCCCCAAGAGCTGCTCAGCTTCTGGGAGATTGACTCATGCTTCTTATCTACACAGTGGATGCTTTTGTTGTGAATTGAAATGAAGATTTACCTGGTCTGGGGAAGAGATCCAGGCATCTCTACAGGGTATTGCTTCCTGATGGACCAGTCGGATCACATAGGTGAGGTTGAGTATAGGAAACAGGTTAGAGTGTCTTCGGGGCTATTTCCATCAGGCAGAGACCAGGGGCCAGACTTCCAGGCTGAGAGGACCTGTCCTTGGTAGAAATTGGATAAACACCAAAATATTTTGATTCTTCATCTCCATTTCGTCCCTAACACTAAACAACATCATTTCTTTTTTAAAATTTTAATTCCAGTACAGTTAACATACAGTGTTATATTAGTTTCAGGTGTACTATATAGTGATTCAGCAATTCTATACATTACTCACTGCTCGTCATGATAAGTGTACTCTTAATTCCCATCACCTATTTCCCCCATCCCCTCACCACCTCCCCTCAGTTTGTTCTCTATAGTTAAGAGTCTGTTTTTTGCTTTATCTTTTTTCTATGTTTGTTTTTTTATTTCTTAAATTATACATATGGTATTTGTCTTTCTCTGACTGACTTATTTCATTTAGCATTACACTCTCTAGCTCCATCCATGTTGTCACAAACGGCAAGATTTCATTATTTTCTTTGGCTGAGTAGTAGTCCATTGTATGTATATATACCACTTCTTTATCTGTTCATCTATCGATGGGTATTTGGGCTGCTTTCATAATTTGGCTATTGTAAATAATGCTGCAATAAGCATGGGGGTGCATGTATCTTTTCGAGTTGATGTTTTCATATTCTTTGGGTAAATACTCAGTAGTAGAATTACTGGATCATAGAGTAATTCTATTTTTAATTTTTTTGAGGAACCTCCATACCGTTTTCCATAGCGGCTGCACCAGTCTGCATTCCTACCAGAGAAGCACGAGGGCTCCTTTTTCTCCACATCCTCGCCAGCACTTGTTGTTTCTTGTGTTGTTGATTTTAGCCTTTCTGACAAGTGTGAGGTGATATCTCATTGTGGTTTTGATTTGCATTTCCCTGATGATGAGTGATGTTGAGCATCTTTCATGTGTCTGTATGGCCATCTATATGTCTTCTTTGAGAAATGTCTGTCCATGACTTCTGCCCATTCTTAATCAGATTATTTGTTTTTTTGGGTGTTGAGTTGTATAATATTGTTGAGTTTATATATTTTGGATGCTAACCTTTTATCAGATACATCATTTGTAAATATCTTCTCCCAGTCAGTAGGTTGTCTTTTAGTTTCATTGATTATTTCCTTTGTAAACAATATCCTTTCTTGTCAGGGCAAATTAGGAAACAGTGGCATGAATTACATACTTAGTCATTTTAAAAAACCTTCTTTCCTTTATGAGTGTAATAAACAATAGTAAGTTGTAGAATATGCAGAGGAAGAAAGTCCCAGAAATCAACTGTGATCCTACTTCGCACAGGATATTACTCTATTCTGTCAGACTTTTTTTCAATGCACATATATAGACATTCTTACACAGATAATATAATATATCCTATTTTCCATTGATCAGTTTGTCAGGAATCTCTATTCATGTCCTCATTCCACTCCACATGGAATATGAGGTGTTGGCCAATCCCTGTTTCTAGACTTATAGGTGGTATCTAGTAGGTTGGCATTAAAATCTTCTCTGTGATAAAGATTAAAGATTGGCTGTGATCTGTTCCTGCATGATTGATTCACTTTCCTGATCATTTCGCCTGGAGCCTCGACAGAGTGACCACGTATTACCAGGAGCACAGCTATATGACACCTCTTAGACTTTACCTGTGACTCACAGTGAGACCTCTTTTGTCCAGTATGTGTCGGTTTCACCAGACTCCACTCTGGAGAGGAAGGTTGACCTCCTCGTGACCTTGTTCCCAGGTTATAAGGATAAACTCTATCTGGAGCTGTGGTTCATCATCACCTCCCACGGTACTTTGTGTGTGCATGCGCAAACACACGCACACGAAATTTGACTCTAAGGTAACGTGGGGCTTGTGGAATTAGTCTCGCTACCTTGCAGATAGACTTGTCACAGTTGAACATTAGAATGCTGCTCTTCATTCTTTTGTTCGTTTGTCTAGCATTTCTTAAGTCTGCACTGTGTATCAAACATCTGGCTAGGCCTGCAGCTATGGAGCTAAACTGGACACGCTGATCACCCTCACAGAGCTCAGCTGAATGGAGGAGCCAACACATAAACTCCGGGATGCCCACAGAATGTTATATGGGCTGGAACAGGGGTGTGGGTGGACCGGGGGTGACCACCGGTAAGTCTGCTTGGAAGGGCCAAGGGCAAGATTTGAACCCAGTCCTGCGGATAATAGGAATTTTCAAAGTGCAGGGACAAAGGGCACTCCGGGCAGGCAGAGGAAGCAGCAGATGAAGGTAGTCGTCTGAAAGGGCTGGCGGGGTGTCCTGCAGGGCTGGTGGGGTGTCCTGCAGGGCTGGCGGGCTGGTTGCAGCAGAATAGCACCATAAAAGGTCCGGCTCCGGAGCTAGATCACCTGAGCCCAGACCCTGGGAGCCGGGGCAACTTAGCTAATTTCTCCGTGCCTTGGTTTCCACATCTGTAGCGTATAACCTGAGACTTAATTAACCCATAATGAAATAAGTCAATACATGTAGAGGGGTTAGAACAACACCGGCCCAGAGTGAGTGGTCCTCCGAGTAAGTTAGCTGACCCCCTGTAATGTTAACTATTTATTGTTATTTTTGGAGATACGACTTTTGAGAAGTTATCCTGACCCACTCAGAACACTGAGATATCACTAGGACTTATGCCTGGGTGACTTTCAGACTGAGGAGCCTCAAAAGGTGAACGTCTGACATTAACTCCTGAGTTGTTTTTAGAGCCCTGGGAAGCAGAGCTCACTAATGCATTTATTGCTTGTTCTAATCCCCATATCTCAGGTTCTGACTCCTCTAGCCAGAGGCATTTAAAATAAAAAGCAGCCTCTCCTCTGTGGAGTGGGCGAACTGTTTCGAGCACTGTGTGGATTTGCTGCCTTGTGACGGGAGCCCCCAGACAGTTGCTGGATGCACCTGTTACTACTCATGGAACAGCTGGGACATACTCTTTATCTCTGTCCTGTCTGTTCCTATTTTTCCGCCAAACTGTTGAGATGTTGATTACCCTGAGCCCAGAATCTTTCAGTGACACATTTTCCCATGATGGGGGCACTTCTCCAGGTGCCCTGAGCCAGGTCACCTTTTTGGGTCATCCTTTCTGTACTGAAGGGATGTGTCCCCACCAGGTGGCAGTGGAGTCAAGGTTGGTGTGGCCAGCTGAGGCAGGTTCCGCGGAGATGAGAGGAAAGGCTCTAGAAAACCACTACTTTGCCCGCAAACAGGATCTATTTATTAAAACAATGCAAACTGGATTATTTAGTAATGCATGAAAATTGAAGATAGCCTTCATAACAAACCATGTTACCTTGTCAGTCTTCACATTTTTTAAAAAATTGAGATATGATTGACATATAACATTCATTTCAGGTGTCCAACATAATGGCTTGATATTTATATATCTTGCAAATGATCACCATAAGTCTAGCTAGCATCCATCACCATATGTAGTTATACAGATTTTTTTCTTGTGATGAGTACTTTCAAGATCTACTCTCTTAGCAACTTTTAAATCTACAGTATGGTATTAGTAACTCTAGTCACCATGCTATGCTGAACATGACATCCCCAAGACTTACTTTTATAACTGGAAGTTTGTACCTTTTGAGTGCTTCATTTTTAAACAATATATTCATACTTCACTTTCAAGAACTAGAGTCAAAAAGCTGTAGTTTGTCCCCAACTTTGAAATGTCCAGAATTAATCTGTTATTTCCTCTATCAAATATAGAAACTTCTGTGCTTCTTCCTGCTAGAACTTTATACCTGAGTGCAAAGGACTAACTCCCTTAAAATGACCAATAAAAACAATGGGCCTCCTGGGTGGCTCAGTTGACTGAGCATCCAACTCTTGGTTTTGGCTCAGGTCATGATCTCAGAATTGTGAGGTGGAGTCCCCTCTGGGCTAGGCACAGAGTTGGCTTGAGATTCTCTCTCTCCCTCTCCCTCTGCAACCCCCCCCCCCACCGCAGCTCCTGCTCTCTCTAAATAAATAAATAAAATCTTTAAAATAAAAAAAATGACTAATAAAAAAGGAGAGGATAAAGGTAGGACCTGCATTAGAATTTCTTCATTTCAGGGAGTTTAGATTTCAGCCAAGTTTAGATTTCCCCATTTTGCCCTTTCTCTCTCTCTCTAGGGGTGGAGTCAACTGTCCCTTCTCCTTTTTCCTGTTTCTTCATTTATACATCATCCCAGAGAACTTACAGCCCTGCTCAGAGTCAGAGCTGGATCAGTGAAAGGCAAACATAAGGAAGCAGACTGGAATAGAAGTTGAATGAGAGCTTGATTTCTCTTCTTCCACAGGTCTCATCAATTCTTCTCTCTCTCCCTTTCTTGGCGTGTAAGATATTTGAAGGCTTGGCCCTGGCATCATTTTGGGGTTTTGTTGGTAAACCAAGTTCCAGGGGTGAGGGTAGTAAAACTGCACACCCAGAGTGCTTTGCCCAAGTGACTCAGCTCTGGACCTCTGAGTCATCCTTCGTGTGGTCCAAGCAGAAAAGGCCGCCAGAAGTACGGAGGTGCAGCCAGCTCTTAAGCCCCCAATAAGCTTATTCAACCTTTATTTGCCTCTTGATCTAAATATTTTCTTTTAAGGGGAAAAAAAGGACTTATAAAGACTAACCATAAGTCTTTTTTATTTTCATACAGAAAACTCCTCCTGCAAAGACCTGTAGGTAAGTTTAGGGGCCCCTGGGTGGCTCGGTCATTAAACGTCTGCCTTCGACTCAGGTCATGATCCCGGGGTCCTAGGATTGAGCCCCACATCGGGCTCCCTGCTCAGCGGGAAGCCTGCTTCTCCCTCTCCCACTCACCCTGCTTGTGTTCCCTCTCTTGTGTTCTCTCTGTCAAATAAATAAAATAAAATCTTAAAAAAAAAAGATCTGTAGGTAAGTTTAAAAAAAAAAAAAAAAACAAACCAGCAACCCACAGCCCTCTAAAATAGAAGATTTAACCTGATTTTAAATGATGATAAGCTGTTGGAGATTCCTATTTGGGAGTTGACAGAATTTTTTTTTTTAAAGATTTATTTATTTATTTGAGAGAATGAGAATGAGAGAGAGAGAGTACATGAGAGGGGGGAGGGTTAGAGGGAGAAGCAGGCTCCTTGCCGAGCAGGGAGCCTGATGCGGGACTCAATCCAGGGACTCCAGGATCATGACCTGAGCCGAAGGCAGTCGCTTAACCGACTGAGCCACCCAGGCGCCCCGAGAGTTGACAGAATTTATTATAAACAGTTATATACCCCTATTTTGTGTCTTTTTCTAAATTTTACTCTTTCGGTCTCGTTTTTTTTTTTCCCCTGAAATATTCTGTTCCTAAGGGGAAAATAACCCGTGCTAGATTTCAGTCACTGAAGCCCAAAACTTCACTAAGAGTTGTGCAATACTGATGGGAGAAAGAAAATGGAAAACACGGAAAAGGACTTAAAATGTTTAAAATCGTGTTTGCAGTTGATTGGGTTTTTTTTGATTCCCATGGTGGAACAAACACTGGCTGCAAGATGAGGGATCTGAGTCATGGTCTTGGGCCACAGCAAGGTGATGAAGGGCAGGCTTCCTAGCCCTTCCTGCCTCGTTCCCTCGGCTGAAACACGAGCCGGGCTGGACTCTTGGGCTGATCCCTGGGCCCCCCTATGTGCTAACCTGTAACCCCATTCTCTGGCTGCTTCTGGCCTCCTCAGCCATAGCTCTGAAGCTCAGTCCTGATGATAGAAAACCAACAGAAATGCTTTGACACATGGATTTAGGACTTTTTGTTTCAAATATTTCTGGGCTTTCATCCAATCTCTTTTTTTGCCTTGATTACAGGCTGCTACTTGGAAAAAAAAACAAAACACAACACTGTTAGGACTCATCCTCTTGTTTAAAAGATTAGCAGGTATTAAAGAGAGGCATTAAAACTCACTAATACCTGATATGATCAGGTATTGCTCAAGGCCGAGTTTGGTGGGAAACCAAGTGCTGTCTCCCACCTGGCTGTCCCCCAACTCCTCTCAGCCCCGAGGGGCTCTCTGTTTGAGAGGACCAGTAACATTCATTGCCTGTGGATGGGGAAGTGTCCTATATCCTAGAAAGCCTTCTACTGTAGGTAGACCAAACCTATTAGGGTTCTCCTCTCCTCCCACCTAAAACCTGCCTGAGCCTGTGCAGTCCCAGAAACCCTTCCACCCGCCTACCTCCACTCACCCCACCCTTCGCCTCTGAGTCGCTTGACAGTCTGGTGCCTTGGAGTCTTCTTGAGGCCGTTTGTGTATGTGCCTTCAAAGTTTGGCGAGGCTGTAGAAGGAGGGCGGGCTGGAGCGGAGGACCTTCCTGTGCCCCAGGATGACCCGTGTCGTGCTGACCATCCCAGGGCTGTGGGGTCCCAGCTCTGAGGATTCCCCCATACTGGTTCCACTGGCCACGCTAGGTGGGTTATGCATATTTGGCAGGAATGCCACGTGAGTGATGTGCCCTTCTTAGTACATCGTATCAGGAGGCATAGGACATACACCTGTCCCCTCATTGGAGATGTTAAGCTTGATCATTTGGTGAAGGTGAAGCGCAGAAGATTTTAACATGCTTTCCATGGCGTTTTCTTTTTCCTAAGTGGTAGAACTGCAGTCTGATTACCCAGTTTTCCACTAGTGTATTTTTGGGGATCTGCAGTTTAAAAAATTTCTTATAACCTGTTTCACGGGCATCCTGTTTTTCTCGAGTGAGCCAGCCATGGTTTTGCAAATGTCCTGCAAGTGCCCATATCTGGGAACAAGGCCAGCTGAGCCCCAGGGAGGGAACTGTCTGGTCCCTGGTGGAGCACCCAGTTGAAAACTGCATAGGTAGTGGGTTCTTAAGGAGGAACAGGGGCACAGGGCAGGGTCTTGCAGGGTCTTGGCCCCGTGCTCGCTCCACTTGATGTGTTTCAACCCCCACACTCTCCGGGCAACCCTTTGATGTTGAAAAGTGAAGCTGCCTGTTTTATCTCTTTGCACAGTACCCTCTTCCTCCTGGCTGCTGCAGGATGCCTTCCCTTCAACGACCCCCAGGTAAGTTCAAGGGCACTCATTTTGCCTTCCAAGTGTCTTTTACTCTCCGAAGCCTGCGTGTATGAGCAGAACTTCCTAGTCCTTCCTTCAGGAATCAGAAGAACCCCAGCCTGTGCAAAGGCATTTAAAAGCTTCCAGGCGGGGCGCCTGGGTCGCTCAGTTGTTAAGCGTCTGCCTTCAGTTCAGGTCATGATCCCAGGGTCCTGGGATTGAGCCCCACATCGGGCTCCCTGCTCCACGGGAGGCCTGCTTCTCCCTCTCCCGCTCCCCCTGCTTGTGTTCCCTCTCTCGCTGTCTCTCTCTGTCAAATAAATAAAATCTAAAAAAAAAACAAAAAAAACCTTCCAGGCTGGGTGCCTCGTGCCCGGGTCAGCACCTCTTCTGCAGGCTTCGCCTTCTCCCCAGGGCTGCAGCAGCCCGGGCGAGCTCTGGCCTCTGGGCACCGTGGTGGCTGCCATTGGCCCTCTGTATGTGCTTGGAGGACTCACGAGCCCCAGCCCGAGTTGCTCTAGCCTCGTGCATTGAGGCGACGTAGATTTTCCCTCTCATCTCGAGGGCCTCATCTGCAGAGTGATTTTCATTTGGTTATCCTGAGTTTTTCCTTATTAGGCCCTGAGGACCCACCCCCTTACCCCCCCAGTAGCCATCTCATTGTGGGTCTGTTTTCTCTCTCTTCTCCCCTAGCAGTTATTAAATCCCCATCAAGTGTCAGGCACCGAGCCAGGCTCTGGGGACACAAAGAAGAATTGTCCTCATCCAGGCAGAAGTCAGAGTCTAGGCAGAGCAAAGGAGAGGAGGACAGATGAGAAACAGATAATTATAACATGGGGAGGCTGGGGCTCTGTCGTGGGGAGATAGGGGACGCCATGTGGAACCTATGAAGATTCGGGGACCGGGGAAATAGGAAGAGCTAACAATTATAGGGAGCTAGCTATGTGCCAGGCTCTGGGCCAGTGCTTCATGTGCCTTATTTTATTTAAAATCTCACAGTTTCACAAGGAGAGGGACTCTTATTGTCTCCATTGCATAGCTAAAGAATAACAAGGCCCCAAAGGTCACCAGCTAATGAATAAGTGGGGGTTTCAGAATTTACACCAGATCTTTCTGATGCTAGAGCCAGACTCTGCTCTCTGGACCTAAATCTTGGAGGGAGAGGACCAGATGGCCAGGAGAAGAAAGCAGGTGTGGGCACAGTCGTGGAGGTGTCCTGCCTTTCTGGGATTCAGTTATAGTGAGCACTTACTTTTGCCCCTGTGCAAATTTCTGCCCTCTTGGAATTTACAGGCTAGTGAATGGTGGAGAAAGAGACAGGTGATACATGAAATAGAGTGTGGCAGATGAGATAAACTTTCACGGAGAAAAATAAGGAAGGGAAGAAGAGAGGGAGTGCCCCTCGGCCGAGTTGGTGGGGGGAAGCATCCAGGCTTGGGGAAGTGCAAGTTCTTTCTCTGGTGGGGGTGTTGTAGATGGGACTGATGGGCTTGACAGGGGCTTGTCCTAGAGATCGTTGGGTGCCATGAGTTTGGATTTTATCCTGAAAGTCACTGGGGGACTGTTGAATGATTTTAAGCAGTAGGTGACACCATCCAATTAGTCTTTTAGAGACACAGTGTAAGGGTAGTGTGGAGAACAGGAAAAGGGGTGCTGGAGGCAGAGAGCCCTATTAGGAAGATGTCATAGGCATCGGGGTGAGAAATGAGGATGGACTGGCCAAAGGTCCCAGAGTCCTGTTGTGGGACCTTGGTTGGTACCGTGCATCGACATTTAGGGTTTCTGATTGCCACGCTGGATCCCATTTGTCTCTACTTATAGCCGTTTTATTATTATTTTTTTCAAATCCTGTGTTACAGTTTGATCCTGGTGGATATTTCTGGGCTGTAATTCACTTACTCTGCGTAGGTAAGTTTTAAAAAAATGCTTACTTAAATAATTGAAGCTTATTATTTAGACCTCATTATATATCCACTTTTCGGTGACCCTGAACAATAGGAAGATTACAGCCAAGGTGTCAAGGTTAAACTTAAATGGGCGTTTTCTGATCTGATTTTCCTGTTTTGGAGTTTTCCTCAAATGTTCCCATTTCTGATACAGTCTCCTCTTTTTCTTGACAAACATTAGTTAACTCACCACGGCTCTGGCCCTGCTTGCTTAAGTCTACTTGAGAAACGCTGGTGGATCTTCTCTAAAAATGGTGAGAAGAGATCCAGAAGTTTGTGTTTAACAAAACAGTCCTTCAGCAGCATACCCAAAGAAATGGACGCAGCGGAAATAAAAGGGCCATCTGACTTCATTTCCAATCATTCGTTCAGTGTTTTCCCGTCTGTAGTCTTAGGGGGAGAGCAGGGCCCTGACTTGGTTACGCACGGTTCAGAAATGCAGCGTGTTCCTTTGTCCCGCACGCTGCAAAGGAAGCCGAAAGCTTCCTGTGCGTTGTATCTTTCTGCTGATCACGAGCCCTCCTGGCCCAGCACTCTCTGTACTGACCGGTCATCGCAGGGGATTCCTGCCCTTGCATCCTGGACTCCCTCCAGAGTGTCGTTGTCGCCCCCTGTTGGCCGGGGGTGCCCCTCGTGGGAGGAGCGGCGCTTGCCTGTGCTGATTCACGTGGAACGTCCTGTGCCAGTAACACGCGCGGCTTCGTTTTCAGGGGCTTATAAGATATTACAGAAGGCCCGGAAACCCAACGTGCTAAGGTAAACTTTTCAAGTGGGGTGGGTCATTGTTTGGTTCAAGCCAAGGGGTGAGACCCACGGTGTCGTGAGCGCGCCTGGGGCCGCCAGAGCCATCTCTCCTGCTGTTGGGCCCTTGCAGGCAGGATCCACCAGCACCTGATCCTACCCGCTGTCAGCAGTGGGCGAAGAGCCGGGGAGCCTCTGCCCTCTTCCTTCGGGGACAGCTTTTTAGAGAACATTTTTACAAAAATGTGACCCGAGGCTTTGGGGCCCCGGTGTATTTCTTGCAGCTCAGAGGCCAACTCTTTTTTCTTGTTTCCTCAGCTCCTTCCTAACTTGACTTTGTTTAGACCCAGAAGTTCCCAGTCACGAGCTCTGTGCTGGGGTAAAGTGAGGCCCCTGTTGTGCAGTCAAGGGACCAGCCTTAGCAAATGTCAGTGAAAGAGACAGGAGTCCCGGCATGGGTTGGCCTGCAGTTGGGGGGTCAGAGGCCCTGGACTGGTCCCCTGGCCTCTGGGTTTTGGGGTCCGCCAGAAGGACCCCTGGGAGAAGATTATACACTCGGAGACTGTGACTTTAGGTCCCTTAGAACACCTTTTGTTCTTTTAATGAAGTTTGTCCGCAGCTAGAAGCCAGTGGAGTTGCCGGATAAAATACAGGGTGCCCAGTTAAATTTGAATTTCAGGTAAGTAGTGAATCCTTTTTTTAGTGTAACTATGGCCCATGCAATATTTGGAGTATACTTGAACATGATTCTTTATCTGAGATTCAGATTTATTTGGGTGTCCTGTATTTTTATCTGTCAAATATGGTGGCCCTAGGATCCAGTCCAATGGCCTGAGAGAGTTGACTCTCCTTTCCTGGTGGCAAATGTACACGCAGAGATAATCCGTCACAGGTGAAAATGTGTGTGATACTATTAACTAGGAAGTGTTTTCTCAAAAATGAGCCAGGAACAAGTTTTGAATATAAAGTACCCTTCATACCATTTATTGACAATTTTTAAATGTAGAAACTTAACCATAGATACCATTTATTAGAATATAATGACTCTTTTGTTGATGTAAAACACTTCTAATTATTTCACATGTTTTATCTTTTTTTTTTTTCTCATTCCTTAGCGACATTGACCAGCAATACTTAAACTATATGTTCAGGTAAAATATAACTTATATTTTCAAAGAACAACTCATATATTTCTAGAGCTAATGCATTTTTATTTCCCAATAATATTTTGATTAGAGAGTTCTGAGCCGATGTGCCTACCAGAAAGGCAAGCTAAATAATTTGTGAGACTAGAAGTTGAGAAAACCAAATAGTGGTTCTGTCCGTAGACCAGGCAAAAGGGACCTCTTTCTGGCTCCACACTTCAGAAGGCCATGCCTCTCCCCATGGGTTGTGGAGTCTGTAAGGCTAAGGGGACATTTCTTCCCAGGGCCCACACCCTCCCTTCTAGCCTGGGACCTAGAATTCCCTGCTCAGGTGTTCCTGAGCTCGACTTCCCAACTCATTCCTAGACCCAAGGAGTGTCCAAAGACAGACTGGTAGTGGGGGAAGACTTGCAGGAGAGTGGACTTGCAGGCTGATGTGTCCACATACAAGTGTATGAGGCTTCAGTGTGCAGGATGGAGCCTGAGGTAGAGAGAGAAGGGGGCTCACTGGGAGCCAGGAGCCAGAGGTTGGATCTGTCCATGCCGCCACATTCTGACATGAAGCTCCAGGGACTCCAAGAATTCTAAATTCTAATCTAGACTTCCAGGTTTTTTGAAGGTATATTTACTGAGGTAGGATGAAGTTTGAGGCTTGATTTGTAACATTTAAATATGGTATATGGACTGCCATTCATACCCTTGCCCCCAGCCAAGCAAAGAATAGGGCTCTGTCTGCTAAATAGAATAGCTGGGAGTGTTCTTGGAGTTCCGTGGTCTCTGATTGTACACCGCGGGACCTAGCTGAGAGGGAAGAAGGGTGAGATCTGCCGCTGGGAGCCCAAGTTTGCCCTAATGCAGCAACGCTTGCAAAGATGACTGAGACTGGGGATGTGCCACTCAGCACTTGGCCATGCTGATTTCTGCAGGAAGTTCATCTTAAAACATTCAACATGAGCTGTATTCTCCATCTGCAGATAAAGCTCATAAATATCTTAGTTTATTAAAATGCCTTTTCGAAAGGATCCACCACAGGTATGGCTGTAGGCCTCTTTTGTACTCCACTGAAAACAATCATTAGTTCCACCCTGCCTGGACAAACCAGCTGCCTTTTCAAGAGATGTTTCTGAAAATGCAGAAGGCTCTGGATGTTTAACATGTTCCTGTGACATCAGAACACTTGGGGCAGTTCTTTTTCTCCATAGAACTTAGAGTCCACTCAAGCAGCAAAGGAATAAGGGGATGGAAAAGTGAGCCTCTGTGACCCCCGACTCATCCTCCTGCCAGCCCGGCTCCCCCCGCCCCAGGCTGAGCCCGGTGCTCAAGTCTTCCTGGCTGGGCCTCTACAGACTGGCTAAAGCCATGATTCTGTTCCCGAGTCTTCTTTCAGTCCCCGTGATGAAGATGTGTGAGTCAGAGTGAGGGCTGCTGCTCGATTTCCCAAGGCCCGGGACACTGAGGGGTCCCTTGGATCAGTGCAGCAGCTGCCAGGGCCAAGAACTGGTTTGATCCCGCTTTATTTTGAGGGAAGCCGGTAGTTGAGCGGGTCTCTACTTTGGCACATACTCCTATTTTCTTGTATTTGCTCCCTGACCCTGACCTCCGGTGTTTCTCATATAAACAGAGGTCTAAGGCCCGACGCAGACCGGAAAGGATGAAGGAAGGAATAAAGGAGGGGGTTGGATCTGGAGCTGAAAATAAATGGCATGTCTAACAATGATATGGCCTTTACCAGCATTTTGAAAAATTTAGGTAATTTATAAGGAATGAATATTATGGGATACATGCCCAACACCATTTCTTTTTAACACAAGCAGACATTATTAAATATTAAATAGAAAATTATCATCTGTTCCCTGCCGCTACTCCACCCCCCATTTTGCAGGTGAAACAGTGTATGTGTGTGTCAAAGGGAAATAGACATGCGATCTGTCTGGGGTATGATTTTGTTGGACTTCAGCCTGTGGAGAACATATTTTTCTCCTATTTCCCCATTATATTTCCTATATAGGAAATAGAGGAAGGTTTTCTGTTTTATTCATTGCCATATCCCCAAATTAGAACAGTATCCGGCACTGACCAGACATTCAATAAATAGCTGTTGAATGCATTTTATTTATTTATTTTTTTAAAGATTTTATTTATTTATTTGAGGGAGAGAATGAGAGAGAGCATGAGAGGGAAGAGGGTCAGAGGGAGAAGCAGACACCCCGCTGAGCAGGGAGCCCGATGTGGGACTCCATCCCGGGACTCCAGGATCATGACCTGAGCCGAAGGCAGTCGCTCAACCAACTGAGCCACCCAGGCGCCCTGTTGAATGCATTTTAAAAGTCTGCTGTCAATCTGTTATCATATGCCTTTTATAGGAGTATAAGTTCTTCTATAGAGTTTACATATCACATATAGTCTTAGAAATATAGGGGACTTCAAGGTATACTTCTCTTCTGCCCCGCACAAATAGGTATACTTCTCTATACTGCCCACCACAGATACTCCTAGAGGCGATTAATTACAATTTCAAACACACTCGGCGCCTGCTGTATGTCTGGCCCTGCTAGACACTTGGGATCCAGAGGAATAAAATATGGTTCTTGCCCCGTAGGAGGTCACAGCGTAGGCATTAGGAGTGGTATGCCGCTGTATTTGCAAAACTCAAACAGGGATTAGAGGATCAACTCTTCCATTTAATTATTTCTTCTTATTTTTATCCCCTAATATTTTATTTCGGGGACACCCTTTGGGATGATGCCAATGATGGGATTTGGGGTACCATGGCAAGCTCTGGAAGATATTTTGGGATGGAAAGAGGCCTCTTCTATCCTGCCATAGGAGTTATAACCAAAAGGGGATCCAGTGAGATAATATAATGGAGTATTGTACGGTCTGTGTTTGCCAAAGAAAGAAGAGATGGCAAGCAAAGGACAGAATGTCTCCAGGTTTGTTTGTAGTGTGCGTATTTTTTGTAGCTGCCTGTAAGGCCTGTCTTACAAACCTACGACTTCTGAATGACCCAACACGTGGCTCTTCTTCATTGCCTCTCTCCTGACCCTCCACACCTCCTGCCTCTTTGAATGACACCGCTCCTCTGAGCCATCGGAGAACCAGTACCCGAGGACTGCTCTGCTTTGCAGAGCAAAGGAAGAGATTGAGAAAAACAGAAGTGGTGCAAGGAGTTAACCCCAGAGCAGGGAGGGGTCGGGGCTGTCAAGCTAACAGTGGCTTCCCTGTTCAAACTGTCCCCCACACCGCCTATAATGTCACCGACTAGAGACTTTGGTGGTTCTCCATCCCAGTGCCCATTAGAGCACCTGGGGGCTGTAACAAAGGAAAACAACTGAAGCCTCGATCTTGCCCTTAGAGATTCTAGCCAGGGTGTTGGCCATTCTGGTGTCCAGCCAGCATTAAGAACCAGAGTAGGCTGTCTAGCATTAAAAATAAAAAAATCCCTTCCTATCCTTGGATAAAAAGTTGTATTCCTAACCTCTAACCAGATAGCTGCCTGCATGGTGTGGAGTCGTGATGGAAGAGGTGTAGAAGGTGGGCTAGGGCAGTGTGAAGGCGTGGTGGGCGGGTACTGGGAGATGGCAGAAGCTTCTGAAGAGCAAGATGGGAGAATACCAAGGACCAATATGGCCAGCATCAGAGGAGCACTCCTCCTCCTCTTCATCCTTTTCAGCTTCTACTGCAAATCAGTCCAGGTAGTTTCCAGGCACGTGGTGGATGGGATGGATCATTTTGTGGGCTGTCTTCTTGGAAATTTAGCTTACCTTCTACAGAGTTAATTTTATGGCAGACAGATTTAGCTCACACTCAACAGCTAGCTTTTCAGTTGCAGCTGATCTGTAATTCCGAGTTGGCTTTGTTTAGCTTACACATACTCTTGGCCGATTAGGTGTGGTGATAATGGCCACACAGCTGGCCTGGGAGTGGGGCGTGGGTCCTTGGCCCATCACGGGGTTCGGTCAACCCTCTTGCCAAAACCTGAGGCATCTCAGGAGATCTCACCCTCTCGCTGATGAGTGAGACCACTTGGTGCAGCTAATCTGCTCTTAGGCAAATTTCACTGTTTCTGAGCAGAATGGACAGAAATGTATGTTGCTGTTTTCTCGGTGCTGGGAAGACTTCCTCACTGCTCTGCTGTTTCCTTTTCAGTGTGGTGCTCCTGGCACTTGCGTCTCATCCCACAGGTAAGTCATTTTGCTTTTTTTATGGTTCCCATTCAGCCCAGTGCTCTGACCCAGTTGCATCTCTGAGGGACATTTTGTAGGAGAGTGTGATTTGCCTTCCAGGATGGAGGCGCCGGGGTTAGGCATTGCCCACGTACTTGAAACTGGTCTCAATGACCCATTGTGGATTTATCGCCCATGAATGTATTCTTACCCCTTCTTACATTTTGTCGTCTGTGTTTTCATCTGGTGCAGCCTCAGCTGTCCAGACAGGCTTGTTATCTGCTGGATAAACTAGTGCTCGCCTTCTCCTCTTCTAAAGTTCCTTCTTCAAACATCCAGAATTGCTTCAATCCTAGTGTGAAAGGATGTGGTGAAAAAGTTCAGATTCACCCTACTGCTGACTGACATCCTTGCACACATTTTTATCATATGTGATCATGCAATATTCATAATTGCAGATTAAGGAAGTAGAGTTTTAAAGCTTACCTTTGCCCTGTTGCCTGCCTTGGTTACTCTAGAGTTGTTTTTCAGATTCGGGAATTGCCCACAATACTCTGTTCCATTGTGTTTTTTTGCTCTGAAAGGTTTTGAAGTTGATGCCAAATATAACAAAATAGTATCTGCATGCGGTATGGCTGGAAATACACATTTTATTGGTCAGGCTCCTTCAACTCATGTTTGTTGGCCATTTGCTGGGCATAAGGCATTTCCCAAGCCCTCGGAGTCTCAGTTAAAATGAGAAAGGTGAACTGAGTTATTTCTAAAGCCCTTTCTAGCTCTTGTTGTGCCCAAAACAATGACCGCTTTCTTGTGGTGCCTTTCGCTGCTTCGGATTATTTGAACTAGTCTCCTGAGGAAACCGTCGATAGTGACGGAGTGTTTCTGGATTGTGTATGACCCATCCGACCCCGTGTCTCATGAGGATAATTTGAATGACTTTTTTCTCAGAGCATTATTCTACACTTGCCCACACTGATGCACATCTGCTATTTTCTGCCCAGTCCCACAGCCCGGGGTTATCTTCCGACTGTAAGGTTTGCTGCTGAGTGCCCTCTGCACTCTCGTGTTGAAAACCTATCCTTTGTAAAATAAAAATCATATGAAGCCCATGGTGTGAACCCTACCTGTTTCTGCTCACCCATGCCGCTGCTTGTCTGCCTTTGAGTGTGCCTCTTGTCATTTTTTCATGCAGTCAGGTGGTTGCCACCCAAGAGATATTCACGAGCCCCCGAAGCACCCTCCCCCTTGCAACTGTGTTTTGTTCAAAGCCTTTGGAAAGGCTTTGATTTGCATGCTCCTTTGCTCCCTGACTGATCAGTGGTGGATTTGGGTGACTAATTCTCCCCTAAATAAACCACTCTGCCTTTCAACTAAGAGGTGATGCTTGTTTGTTTGTTACTCACGATTCTCAGAGCTGGAAGGAATCTTAGTGATTATCCAAGTTGCCACCACCTTTTACAAATGAGGAAATTGAAGCCCATAGCAGTTAAGGGATGTGGCCAAGATGGTGTAGGGGAGGTGCGTAGCAGAGACACCAGAGTTTAGGTCCTGACCCTTCTCCCAGGTTTTTCTTTTTAAATGCTTCTTTTTTAGGGATCCTAGAGTTTATTAAAAGTCAGAGTTTAGGTCCTGACCCTTCTCCCAGGTTTTTCTTTTTAAATGCTTCTTTTTTAGGGATCCTAGAGTTTATTATAAAGTCAGAGTTTAGGTCCTGACCCTTCTCCCAGGTTTTTCTTTTTAAATGCTTCTTTTTTAGGGATCCTACAGTTTATTATAAAGTCTTCTGAGTGAGTGAATACTTTTATACGATTTTATTAAATTTCTCTTTGGAGCTTCTCTTGGTTTTTGTTTTTACTTTGTTTTGTTTTTGAGAGAGAGAACGTGCGTGCATGCACGCATGCAAGGGGGAAGGGGAGGGGCAGAGGGGGAGAGAGAGAGAGAGAATCTTAACTAGGCTCCATGCTCAGCTCAGAGCGCAATGCGGGGCTTGAGCTCACAATCCTGAGATCATGACTTGAGCCGAGATCAAGAATCAGATGCTTAACTGACTGAGCCATCCAGGCTCCCCTGGAGCTTCTCTTGGTTTGAGGGGCATTTTTCTACCAGTTTCTGAGCACAGGGATGCTGGTAATAGTTTATATAGTTTGGCCAGCATTCCCACATTTCACCCTGACTTATTGCTAAACTTTAAGGCCAATGCAAGAATATCTTGGGCACTTACTTACTCTCTGGGCACACAAAGTGGTCAACAGTCTACGGTTGTAGAATGGCCTGGGCAGAAGAGTAATTTAAGATAGGCCCCAGATTCTTTTTGAGGTGATGAAATGTTCTGGAAATTGGTAATGGTGATGGTTGTACAACTCTTAATATGCTAAAAACCACTGAATTTTTAAAAATGTGTAGGGGATAGGGGGCACCTGGGTGGCTCAGTTGGTTAGGCATCCGACTCCTGATTTTGGCTCAGGTCATGATCTCAGGGTGGTGAGATCAAGCCTCACATTGGGCTCTGTGCTGAGCATGGAGCCTGCTTAAGATTCTCTTTCCCTCTCTCTCTACCCTTACCCCCCCCCTCTCTCTCTAAAAAAAATGTATAGGGGATAAAAAAACAAATCATTCTTATTTGAGAACTTGTTTGGAACTTAGTTATACCAGAAAGAGATATATACAAAGATTAATTTTCCTTCAGGGGCGCCTGGGTGGCTCAGTTGGTTAAGCAACTGCCTTCGGCTCAGGTCATGATCCTGGAGTCCCGGGATCGAGTCCCACATCGGGCTCCCTGCTCAGCGGGGGGTCTACTTCTCCCTCTGACCCTCTTCCCTCTCGTGCTCTCTGTCTCTCATTCTCTCTCTCTCAAATAAATAAAATCTTTAAAAAAAAAAAGATTAATTTTCCTTCAGATTATATTTAAAAAAAAAAGAATGGACATCAGATGCTTAGTCCCATTCCTTCTGCAGGCTTTGATTGCTTGGTATGGTGAACGATTGATATGTCTGTGGTGGGCAGCTCAGGGAGTTGTAAAGCCTGCGGGGTTCATCAGAGAGGGACTGGGTACACTTCCATGGAAGGACTCCTGGATGCAGGTTTGGTGTGTTGCAGTTTTCAGGTAGCTGAGATATGATTGTCTTTGAAGAAGCCAGGTAAACAAAGACGGGCTCCTGAGAAGGATTTTGCTGGCCTGTGAGACGGGCTGTGACTCTGGTGGCAATAGCTGAGGTAGCCTTGGCCTCCCTTGTCGTAGGTGGCTGAGGCTCCCAGCTCCCCAAAGCTGTAGGGTTCAGGAGCCCTTCAGGCCTCAGTAGCCATCATAGTAGACTCCAGCAAAGGCCCTGGTGAAGGTGGGTGTGGGGCTCTGTACAAACTGGTGGCTCCTTCCAGAAGAAGCTGAAGATCTTCATCTATACCAGCACCAAGTCCAGCTTCTAACCCACGAGCATCCCAGGGAAACACTGTAAAATCACACCTACTTCTGTGTGTATGAAGGTGCTCTGTATGTGGTCACTGTGATCCTATTTGTCGCTTTCTTAGAACTTTTACAAATTGTGTGCTAAGGGGCCTTAAAGACGTATATTGGTGTTTTTCTTTTCACCTCTGGTCAGTGAAGTGCCATTGACTTGAAACCTTACTTGTCAATAGGCTGGTCCTTAAGGGCCTGTTTGGGTCAGGAATGTTGAGTAGCAAAACAATCCTGACTAGAATAGGGAAGCTGCTTGTGAAATCCACATGAAAAGAGACTGTCTAGATTTTGATCAGCTTTAACTTTCAGAAACTCTCAGGGCTGCCACATTACAGTCGTGATCTAGCTAAACTGTGCTCTACTTCAAAGTTGTGCAGTGCACAACCTAAGTAACTGTAAGCACTGGCTTTTTGCTTCAAAGAGCACTCAGGAACAGTAAAGATGAGATTCCTGAGATGATGGAAGCTCAGAATCTAGAAGAGTACTGGGGATCAGTTTTTCTCAGCTTTATAAACCTAAGTCAATTACCCTCAACTCTTTGATGGGTCCTGATGATGTTTTCTCATAGCAGAATACAATTGATTACAAAGTTTAAGCAAATAAAATGCTGGAGGAAAATCTCTCTCCTCCAGAAGTATTTGAGGACCGCTGTGATGGGACAACTCCTTCCAATTTGTTAGCTTTCTCATTGGACCCATGGGTAGTCTAGCCTGTTTTTAAGTTAGAACAATCCTTTATTCTTTCCCACTTGCTTATTACACTTTCCATCTAGAATGTCCACGGCAGGGCTTGAGTATCAGGGAGAGCATGTCCCTGATTCCCCACACCTGCACCAGTTAAGACACCGTAAGTCCTCAGGACTCATGGGTGCAGCATTTTTATGAAGGATCTGTGAACAATTGGTGGCATTTTATTTTTTTAAATTTCTTAAAGTTTTATTTATTTAAGTAATCTCTACACCCAATGTGGGATTCAAACTCACAACCCCGAGATCAGGAGTCACATGCTCTACCCGCTGAGCCAGCCAGGTGCCCCATAATTGCTGACATTTTAAAGCAGGGCTTTATTCCTTTCAGTTTCTTTTCACCTCTTCTTTTTTTCACTTGTCTCTTAATTATTTAGTAGTACTTTAATTTTTATTTATTTATTTATTTTACATTATTTATTTATTTTTTTATTATGTTATGTTAATCACCATACCTTACATCATTAGTTTTTGATGTAGTGTTCCATGATTCATTGTTTGCGTATAACACCCAGTGCTCCATGCAGTACATGCCCTCTTTAATACCCATCACCAGGCTAACCCATCCTCCCACCCCCCTCCCCTCTAGAACCCTCAGTTTGTTTCTCAGAGTCCATAGTCTCTCATGGTTCATCTCCCTTCCAATTTCCGCCCCCTTCATTTTTCCCTTTCTGCTATCTTCTTCTTCTTCTTTTTTATTTTTTTAATATATAATGTATTATTTGTTTCAGAGGCACAGGTCTGTGATTCAACAGTCTTACACAATTCACAGCACTCACCATAGCACATACCCTCCCCAATGTCTATCACCCAGCTACC